ATGAAGCTCCAGCTGGAGGAACTCTGCAGGGCTACAATAGAACAGAAAGACAAGAACTTGAAGTCTACATGTTTTTAAATGAATGCATCACTGCGAAAGACATTTCTGATGTGAGTGCATATGTGAAAACGGCTAATGTTGATTGAAACCAATATGATAAACTGTTAATTCATTTCTCCTCCGCAGTCTTTTATAAAACTAATTCAACTTAAATCATGAGTCCTGAATCTTTCTTGAGGGAAGTCAAGTTTTACGAATTTCCTCAACAGTCTGTTTTTCTTTTAGTTGAACTTCATTTCCTCATTTCTCTGTGCTTTTTTTAACCAATGTCTTTATTTCTTGTTCTCATTTTATTCATAATTATATTTATTTTCCCTGTATATACTCTCCAGCTGTATTGTTTGTCAGAGCGACTGAAACATCCCATCTTCTTCCCCCAGGGATTAAATTAAGTGTTTCTGTTTCTGTTTCTGTTAAAAACTGATCTTTTAATAAACGTATCATTTGCAGGTCAGGGAGACATCATGAGAGTTCAAACTAGCGGTGCATCACAGCAAACGGCTAATCAGGACAATCTGAGATACTCAGGTAAGTAAGCTGCGAAACACAGGAGCTCATTTTATATGAAGTAGTTCAATACAGAGGTGCTGCTTCTCAACAGGCAAGGCAGGGGACAAATCCTCTAGACTTACTCTAAGTATGTTTTTTTCATGTGCTGGTAAAAAAAGGAAGTGATGGGACATTTGTCAGACTTTAAACAAACCTGGACCACTGAGCTTCCCACCATGAGCCTGAAATCAAAAGAAATCCAGTTTGTGAAAACGGTCAATATCAGATTTGGTCGCTCCGAGTCTACTAGCACTTTTTTTCTGTGTTTTTTTTTTCTCTAAAGGTGTGAGAGCATCACACACCATGGCCCAGACTGATGCAGACAGAATGGAAGAGTTCAGGTCTAAAATCAACAGAGTGGGGGATGAGAAGGGAATTCATCCAGCTCTGATTGCTGCCATCATCTCCAGAGAGTCTCGGGCTGGAAATACAATAAAGAACACTGGAGGCTGGGGGGACTATGACAAGAACCGACGAGCGTACAACGCCTTCGGACTGATGCAGGTGCTTATAAATGCTGTTTTACTCACATGATTTTAGCTTAGCGTGATTAACCAGCTTTCCTTCAAACATATGTAGGTGGATGTGAATCCAAACGGAGGTAACCACACTCCAGAGGGCTCATGGAACAGCGAGGAACACCTCAGACAAGCCACGGGCATCTTGGTTGATTTCATGGAACGGATCAAAAATAAATTTCCTGATTGGTGCCTGGAGCAGAAGCTGAAAGGTTTGTTTCACTCACCCACTAAGTTGACACAAACACAACCCCCTTCACACAAATGGTTTGATCTTATGTGTGTTTAATTCTCCAGGTGGGATTGCAGCCTACAACATGGGCGATGGAAACGTCCATTCTTATGAAAACGTTGATGAATACACAACCGGTAGAGACTACTCCAATGATGTTGCTGCCAGAGCCCAGTGGTACAGGAACCATGGTGGCTTTTAACTGTTGAAGCCCACTCTGACAACATTTCCTGCAAGTCATTAAGTAAAAGTCTAAAAAGTTGTTTGTATGAAATCCTGAGGTAAATAAACATGATACAAAAAACAAAACCACAAATATCTCTGTTTTTTTTAGGCAACTTTCGGTGTTGAAAAATGAAGTGAATGCTGAAGTGTAAAATCCTGCAGTTCCTCGAGTGTCCACTAGAGGCTGGCTGCAGGAACACAGGAAGTCACATACAACATGTTTACAGCCTGGTACCAGAAAAACAAATAGGTCGGATTAGTTATCTTCCTCATGTGCACACACTGAACGGGGGATTACTTTTTTTTAAAATGTCTCTGGCCGGCCGTCCGGGCGATGTAAACAAACTGAAGATTGGACTCAGAAAACTCTGAAAGCATCACAGACAGTGGGACTCGGGTGTTACGCCCATTGTAGACAGTCATGACTCACAGAGTTATTTTCAGAGGATATACTTGATTTATATTACATTTAAGTGTGAAAAATCACAGAGAAAGACTTTAAATGAAAAATGGGATGGGGATGGGATAATATCATAGACTGTAAATATGAATCTTTGAAGCCTGTGTGTGACGTCAGCCATCTGTTCCTGGAAGTCATAGTGAAACTGAAGGTGTAAAAGTCCCCGGTAACAGTTTATAATAACCATCATCTATAAAGGGTAAATAAGGGTAAATAAATAGTTAATTAACCATTAGTTAATAGTTATTTACTGTTAACAAACAATGAAATTATAGTTAATAGTGTTTGCTAATGATTTGTAATGCTATAATTTATGTTATGTTAACAGTTTATTGATGCACACATTATAACATTTCATACGCTTTATAAAGTGTTTGTTAATGATGACCAAATGATTTATAAACCTTTAAGAGATGGTTTATAAAACATCTATAAACATTACAGCGATACATGGACCAGATATTTGTTGATGGTTTGTAAATATTTTATAAAGCGTCTATTAACATTATTTGGATGGTTATTATAAAGTTGGAATTGAAGATTATAATCCCTTATTAATACTTTGTAAAGCATCTATAAATATTTTTTAGATAGATAATTAATATTTTATCAATGATTAATAATTGGTTTATAAACCATCTACAAGCATTATCCACGCCATGTTTGTGCGCCCCATTAAATGTTACATAGACGACCTATAGAAGACTAATTTTTTGCACACCAATAACAGTATTGAAAACATTATATTTTACAAACCTTTAAGTTAATGTTGACTAGAAGGAAGACTCGGGGAATCGCATCGAGGACCTGCTCAGAGATCACCTGATTGTGATAGAGTGGAATGAATGGCTGGGTAACGCCCTTGGGACGCCTGCTTGATGATATTGCTAAGTGTAGCCCAGGTTTAACTATGACACATTCCTTTATTTTAAAATGAACATATATGTAGTGGAGGTGTAACTCAAGACATAAAGTTATTGAAAAATAGTTAGAAATTGTATTTTATGCCTAAAGAAGATGATTAAAACAACCAACACTATCATATTTAGCTGTCTGATCAAGTCACTTCTAAGGGTTAACTTTCTGTTGTCTTTGAGTGATTTGATGAGTTTGTAAGTGTGCCAATCGGTGAACTCTATTAGTCTGTAAGCCGGCCAATCCAAGTACCAACGCCTTATTTGCTGCATATTTTCCTGCAAAAATGAAATCGTATGGGTTTAATATGTAGCCAAAACCCCCTTGTATTCATATGTCATGTGTCATAATTTCTACATACCTCACAGAAATCACAGTGAGATATGTAGTTCATGTAATTTATGATAGCAAAGATAATACCTATATCTCTTAAGATACTTTTCAGATTATAGAAGACCACCAGTCACCATGGTTCAAAACATCAACATATAGCTCTTTATAGATGCTCATACTGATTTATATATTTTCATCTGCAACTCATGCATGTCTCATTATTTTGCTCTTTATTTTTTTGATTGTATTTTGTCGTAGCTGTCCTGACCTTGTCAGTTTGTTTTTTGTCATGTACCTGTATATGTCCCCAGTTTGTCACGCTATTGCACCTAATGATAAAAAAAAAAAAAAACTTACCTGTGCTTCTGAGTGACTCCCAGTGTTTGCCTAGTGATAAGATAGGAGCACGACAGAAATAAAAAAAATGTTGTTTTATGCTGAACAGGTTTTTTGTTTTTTTTTAAATATTGTTGAGATTTCTTAACATAGTTTGCGAACCTCTGCTTTAGGGTGTATTACATTTATTTGTACTATCTTTGCTTTGAAGCACTCAGGGTTAAATCCTAAACTCTTTAATCATTATAGCACAGAACACGTCATACACAGAAAACTAAATATGAGGTCACACTATGTTTCATAATTTACTACCAACAATGAAATATTTTGAACCCTTCCTGTAGTCTTTCATGAACTGATGGCAGCTACCACAGACAAGATATTAATGAGTGAAATATATCCATCAAGGGCAACTTAAAATAGTCCACCCCAGATGGGACTCGAACCCACAATCCCTGGCTTAGGAGGCCAGTGCCTTATCCATTAGGCCACTGGGGCAACTACGACAGTGTTACAGCCCCACAGAAAAAATAAAAGATTAATACTGTGACAAAATGAACATGTAGATGTTGAAATGTCACAAAATCACATTTAAGGAGAAAATGTGTTTAAACCCTAAATACGTCGTTTCCTGCCGTGTCGTGTAGCAGCCAAATGCTGCATTCAAGTGCTGCTCAGGTGGTCCAAGTTTACGAGTTTGAAAAGTCGTTCTTCCGACTTGTGTTCAGTGTGTTCATGTGATTTCAGCTCAGAAAGTCTGAATCTTTTAACAACATCACAAAACAGCGTTGATGCTACGAAGAAGATCAGTAAAATGTAACTGTTAAAAGTTATATTTGAGCAAAAAGTTGATTTGCAATACGTAAATGAATAAAAAAGTATGTTAACATTAACAAAACATATTTTGCCCCCATGTGATGACGATTCTGACGGCAAGTCGGGAAGTAGGTCACCTCATTCTTTTCCGTGTTTTCAAGTTGTTGTTCCGACTTGAGCAGGCGTTCATGTGCATTTTACAACTCGGAAACTCGTTTTTCCGACGTGTCAGACACCACCCGAATGCAACTACTATCTCCGTGCCCCGTTGCTAGGCAACAAATAAGTCATGTAAAGAAGCTAGGGCAGCGTTAGCCGAGCTGTTTCCTGTCAAGCCCCTAAACTCCGCTCGACTTCAAAATAATTGCCGCTCGAGTGTACTTTTTAAAAATCGCCAGCCGTGGGTGAGCTCCGAGATATTCAGCAGAGAACCTCTAACAAAGTCACGTCTAAAACCATAGGTCTAAACGTGCCTTCTGTTCCATTCCCACCACCTTCTTACAACATGAGCACTAGACATGCCTTTATTTTGAAAATATTAGAGCGGAAAAGTACCTACACGCTTCTGTTTAATCATCAGTTAGCAACTTAGCAACCGCTTAGATCTCACATAGCAACGGCGTACAAGAGACAGAATAAACTACACAGTTATCACAGGCATGTTAGCCGTAAATAGATTCAGTTATGTTTGATGGTGTGGTTCGGATACACGATGAAAGCCGACACCTTTCACCTCTCTGCAGGTAGAAAGCGCAGAAGCTAACTGTTTTCATCTGGACGCACGACGTTAGCTAGCTGAGTGATAACCAGGTGTGACACCACTTTGATATCTCTTCCACGCGAATACGTCGAAATGGTGAGTTTACGTGTTTGTTTGTGTTCCTCATTTGTTGTTTTAATGCAAAATCCAATTCAGCATTCATCCCCATCATTTTTTAATTGTTGACTTTTATTGACAAACTTTGGTTTTCACTGCAGTGATGCTGCAACGCTGTCACATGGGGGCCCCTTAGGGAGGTTTCCTACTGTCCCTGCAAAAATAGCACATTTTGGGTCACTGCTTTGAGCCCTCAGGGGCCCCCTACTGGTCAGGGGCCCCCTACTGGTCAGGGGCCCCAAGCAGTTGCCTGCCTTGCCTCTTGCTGTTTATCTTGAGATTAACTGAGTCTGAAGTAGTTGCTCTGACAGGTTTTGTGTTAACTTGCTCCTGTAAGTGTTTTTGTGGTTGTGGTCGTGACAGATCCTCTCTCGGTCGAAGCCCGCCTTGGGCAGCGTCAGCGAGAAAAAGAAGAAAAACCAAACAAAGGTTTCCCGCTTGGAGGAGTATCTACAACAGAGAGACTACCTCGGGGCACTGACACTTTTGGAGGTACGTACACAACCTTAACTTCACGTTTTAAAACAAATCAAATATTGTGTTTCATGCTCACATTAAAGCAACGCTCACCACTGGCTCTGCAGCTGGCCAACATCTGCGCAGTGGTTGGAGTACACAACTTCAGTACTCGGGTCAAAGTTTAGATTCTCATGGTCAAATATGACAAGTGAGAGGTGCTCATTCAAATGATTACTTGAGTTAAAGTAGGAACTGGAATACTTTAAAAATACATCTCAAAACATTGCTGTATTTTCCCGATGAGTGAAGTCAAGAACACATGGGTGTTCATTCTGCTACATTATGTTTATTTAGAAAACCTTGTTTACATTTTATAAACTCACATGCTACAGATTTGCAGCTCCAAAATAAAAGAACAACAATACCAGGTGAGCAGGGAAAGTGTCAGCCAGACATCTGCTACCTCAGACAAGGTGTGTGCAGCCGAGGCTCCGCGCTGTTTTTGGAACGAGAGAAAATGCAAATAATCCTCATGACAGCAAACAACACAGCCAGAAAACGTCAAATTTCAAACATGGGCTGAAGATGTGGCCATGAGTGCTCAGGTGGAGAATCGTCATATCACCACTGAATGAACCGCCTGATCTTGTGATTTCAGTGACATTTGCTCTGCGTTGACTCTGTGTTCAACCAGAAGTACAACCCCACTTAGACAAACCACACGCAGAACTACACAAACACAGTTCATTGTTGTTCAAAATATATTCCAGTGGACTCCTTCTCATGGACAGGATCCAGAGAAAGTACAGGAGGACACAAATCACTTTTAAAGGCAAATGTATTTTGGTCAAATTAAATGTGGTCCTTTTCTGAGAGCACCGGCCTCCATTTGTGGAGCGGTTAAAGCGCAAGAGTTTCCCTCTACAGATGATTGCTTTCAGATCATATTTTGAAAAACAGAAGTCATCAGCTGACTTCAGAGCTAAAGCAGTGAGTAACAAGAACATCCAGTGGAGTCCAAAGTACAATATTTTTTCAAAGGTAGTGGAGTAAAAGTCACTAGTTTCCTCCAAAAAGAGAAGAATGAAGTAAAATAAACAGAACTCAAATAAATGAACCACTGCATCGCTACGACTTACAGAGTGAGAAACTAAAGTCCTGATCAAGTTTTCTTATTATTTTTAAGCTCTAGCAGTAGAAATGAAACTACAGTTAAACATATTTGACTTATGTTGTTGCCATAGCAACCAGAGACAATCTGTTTTATCTGCTGTTGCTTTCGATTTAGCTCTTTCTTCTGTGTCTCTATCCATGTCACCCAGCACTAGGCTTAATCCAGTAAATGTCACATGACATTGAAAAGAGCAGGTGCAGGTGGTCGAGGAGAATAAACTGACTCCAGATTCACCAGGTTTAAAGTTTTAAAGGACATAAGAGTTGGAAGGAGGCGTAGGGAGGAGCGAGGACAGCGCTAACTCTGGAGAGAGAAAGTTGATTTTGAAAGACTTTTTTCATGGTCATTCAATGAGGTCATCACTCACTGCCAACTCTGGAAATATTGCACACATGTCATTCATTTAGATCATTTATAAAGATTAATTCAAGATGTATATTAGTATCAGTCTATGTTTAAACTGAGAAAAAAATTATGTTGTAAAAACATTACTTCACTTGTCCACCAGAGGGCGCTGATAAACTGATTTTTTTTTTTCCATCATTGTTTTGATTGATTTTAATCCAAACAATCCAAAAGCTGAATCAACAAGCTGGTATAATAACATATATTTTTTATGTATTGTGAATTTTGACAGGGACAGTGCACAGCCTATTAGCTGAACCAGAGTTAGCTATGAGCTCATTCACATCTGTGGAAGACAGAGAAATCAAACATACACTAAAAACATCTACATAACAATACATAACGACTGTCCCACAGCATTACATTCATTCACAGTGGCGTTCTTAAAGGCAGTAAATAATCACACAAAAAATAAATAAATTCATAGAAAAATATCCAGTGGAATCAAACCATGCAGGTCAAAGAGTCGAACTAAGAACACAGCATGCATGAAAAGAGTCTTGACTTACAAACATCTGTCTGTTTTTGCTTTTGTTCTTTGATAATTGTTTTTGCAACACAACACAGTCAAATTCCTTCTATGTATGAAAGTACTTGGCAATAAAAATTGAGTACGTATGTGTAATAAAGAGGTTCTACATTTCAGGCTCTGTCTCCAGAAAGGTATGAAAATCTCCCCAAATCTGAAGTAGATTTATTTATTCAGAGAGATATCTTCAACAGTGTCAACTTGAAAGAAATCTATCAAGACAATATATGACATTCATTGATCTTAGACTTGTGTACCAGCTACATGACCAAGGGTTCAGGAGTAAAGTTTTTCACATGATTAGAGGTTGAATACAGGCTGAGAACGAGCCTCTTTAGGAATGTCAGTCCATCAAGTCCACAGAGTCCTCTTTGTAACGTCTGTGCCTTCCTCATTCAATTATAGTTTGAGAATGAGTCCCATGTTTTTATAGGACACCGACGGTTTGTCCTTCAGCCAGTCGGCCAGAAGGATGAGTTCTAAAAGTTTGTGTTTTTAAAACAATTTTTTATGGCTGTCAAATGATAACATTTTAATCGCCATTAATTGGGACGGCAGTAGCTCAGTCCGTAGGGAACCTGAGGGTCGCAAGTTCAAGTCCTGGTGCGGAAAAAGTCAGGTCTGGTAGCTGGAGAGGTGAGCACTGCTGAGGTTAAGTTAGGCACCAAATCCCCAGCGGCTCAGGAGCGCCCGCTGTGTGCAATTAACAATGAATTAACAACGTCTACGCCCATGTAATGTAAGTCGCTCAGAGTGTGATTTTAACTTTTAAAATGTAATGTTTTTCTGGATTCAGCATCCAGTTGTTTTACATTGAAAGGGAGTTGAGAGTGTTA